GAGCCCAGCACGTCGAGATTGCGGTGGCCGGGAGCGGTCATTGCACTCCAGTCTGGGCGAGAGAGTGAGACTCCATCTCAAAAAAAAAAAAAAAAAAAAACTGGCTCATGCGTGTAATCCTAGCACTTTGGGAGGCCGAGGTAAGAGGACTGGCTAATTCAAGACCAACCTGGGCAACTTGGCGAAACCTCATCTCTACAATAAAATAAAATAAAAAATTACCTGGGCATGGAGGCACATGCCTGTAGTTCCAGGTACTTAGAAGACTGAGATAGAGGGTTGCCTGAACCTAGCAGGTTGAGACTGTGGTAGCCACTGAGTGTACCACTGCACCCCAGCCTGGGTGACAGAATGAGACTCCAACTCAAAAAAATTAAATAAATAAATAAATAAATAATCCAAAAAGAACTATGAACAACTGTATGCCAACTAATTGGATAAATTCACTGAATAAATTCCTAGAAACACAAAACCTACAAAGACTATATCACAAAGAAATAGAAAATCTGAATAGATTTATAACTAGAGTTATAGAGACTGAAGCAGTAATTAAAAATAAATAAATAAAACTTCCTTACTTCTGATTCTCTTGATGGAGAACTAAAATCAGAAACAAAACCAAAAATCTCCAGATAAAAACTTTGGACCTGATAGTTTGTTTCACTGGTGAAGTCTACCAAACATTTCAAGAAACTAATACCAAAACTTTTCCAAAAACAAACAAACAAACAAACAATAAAAACCTTTGGAACAGGAGGAAAAACTTTCTAACTCACTCTGTGAAGCCAGCATTACCCTGACACCAAAATCAGATAAAGACATCACAAGAAAACTACAGGCCAGGTATAGGAGGACTTCTCTGGTGAAGGTGATAAAGAAATAGATTTAAGCAGATCTGAAAAGTAAGGAAGCCAGTCATGTTGGGAACATGCTCACACCTGCGATCTCAGCACTTTGGGAGGCCAACACAGGAGGACTGCTTGAGCCAAGGAGTTCGAGACTAGCCCGGGAAACACAGCAAGGCCTCATCTCTACAAAAAATTTAAAAATTGAGCTATATTTCAGCTAAAAAAAAAGATAAGAAAAAAAAAGAAAACTAGAAAAGAAGATAAAAGATCACTATCCCTTATGAACACTGATGCAAAAACCCTCAACAAAACAGTAGCACACTGAACTGAACTCAGCAGTATATTAGCAGGATGATACACAACAACCAAATGAGATACAATTTCTGGAAAGAAAGGACGGTTCGACATATAAAAATTGAACAATGTAATATGCCACATTAACAGAATAAAGAAAAAAATACACAAAATCATGTCAATTAATGTAGAAAAAGCATTTGTCAGGATGGCCATCATCAATAACTCAAAAAACAACAGATGCTGGAGAGGAAGTGGGGAAAAGGGAACACTGTTGTAATGGTGGGAATGTAAACTAGTAGTGCAACCTCTGTGGAAAACAGTGTGACAATTTCTAAAAAATCTGAAAATCGACCTTCCATATGACCCAGCAATCCCTCTTCTGGGAATATACCCAGAGGAACTCAAATCACTCTATAATAAAGATACCTGCACATGCATGTTTCTTGCAGCATTATTCACAATAGCAAAAACATGGAAACAACCATGCTGCCCTTCAAAACTGGACTGAATAAAGAAATTGTGGCACATTTACATGATGGAATATTATGCAGCCATAAAGAAAAACAAAATTATGAACTTTGCAGCAACCTGGATTGAATTACAGTCTATAACACAGTGATTTATCCCAGAAACAAAGATCTGAGTATCACATGACTCATTCATAAGTGGACCCTGAACATTTATCATAATACTGCAAGAAAGGGATTGGCAGTAGTGGGACAATGCCAGGGGTGGGGGGAGGCACGTAACTTAAATAAGGGTACCCACACTTTACCCATATGAAGACCACGTATGTACCTAACACTCATTTGTACCCCACATTTTCTGAGCTGGAGTCTCACTCTGTCGCCAAGGCTGGCGAGTAGTGACATACTCACAGCCACCACAGGCTCAGCCTCAACCTACAGGGCTCAGGTGATCCTTCTGCCTCCTCAGCCTTTCCAGTAGCTGGAACTACAGACATGGGGCACCACACCCAGCTAATTTTTTGATTTACTGTAGAGATGAGGTC